AGACAGCTGCCTCCCACATGTGGATCCTTTGCACAGAAAGAAGAGATCCTGCAGCCAGTAGATACTGTTCTGATATCATAGACAAAGTTTGCATATAAAATATACAATGATTTGTATGAACGTGTAGCCTAGAAGCCCACTTAAAATGCATTGACCAAACTTCTTACATGTAGTCTCCTGTTCACAGTGCAAACCTTCTGGCTAATAACATGTTTTGAAACATTCTCGCAATCTTGAAGCCCCAAAGAGAAGCATTCTTGACAGTACAGAAAACCACCAAACAGTGGTCATTTTACAAGTAAGCTCTGTCTTGCGAAACAAGACCTAAAGGTTTATAGGAATTTTTTTTTTTTAAGTCCTTTTCATTTAAGTGTGGCTTAACGCCCTGAGCAGCCAATGCCAAAACCAAACGCAACCTTGAAGAATCAAACCTGTGATGTGATGAAAAAAATGGAATCTCACCACCCTTTTTGTTCATTTTAATGAGTTATGGAATCATATATTATTCTTAGATGTTCACCTGCTAGTTTGGTATTGCCAGTATACACACATGGAGTTGGTTTTTCCTATCAAGATTTATACTGGATGAAACTGCTTTTCATGTAAAATTCAACACATCAACTATTTGAAATAATAATATTTAAGAGTGGTAACTGGCCAAAAAAAGAAAATGTTTCAGAGTTTAAACTACCCACAGCTCCCTGAGGTACACGCCACCATGCTAGAAATTGAATTTAGTAGTTTAGTCAGTCTTCCTGAGTTTCCTAGAACCTCTGAAGGGCACCACTTAGATGTGGATGAATGTCAGCTGCTGGTAGTAGTAATCCAAGTACAATACTCAACAAGGGCTAAATACATATTATTGATAGCTAAAAACTTTACATACATTGAAAGGAGATATGACTAATAAATTTAAAGAGGACCGTTAGTTCCTGGGCACCATAGACAAGATAAATTCTCCCTGAGTCACTATAGGTACAGCTGGGTGGAGGGCAATATCGAGTTCAGACAGGAAGCCAATTAGTACAGTCATAAGTGTATCAGAGCATATATGTATGTTATGCAAGGATGAGATCACTCAACATAATCTGTGCACTAAATTCTATGGAAATCATCTTGTCTGATCTCATCCATGTTTATTATAAGTGCATGAAGAATGTATACATGTTCTTAATTTGCCAATCACTGCGCCAGTCTGTTGCCAGTTTGAACTCAAAGGGGATAGGGGATTCATTACATAGAGATTCTTTTAACATTACACTTATGGGGGGACTTGTGTCTATGGTTTATGACCTCTTCTGTATACAGGTGGCTGATCCTCACCTCCAGTCCTTATTCTACTACTCATTGCTTCTTATCAATCCTAAAGATGAATCTCTATAGCCCTTCTCCTGCATGTAACTACGTCTGGGAGATACTTCTTGTGATGTTCCAAAGAGATATGAGCGGTACACACTAGAGCCTATTTATGGATTTATGGACAATATTTCCTGGTATTTTATGTGAATTTATGTGCAATCTAAATGTATATGGTTAGGCATACCCCCCTACTATGCACATGACATTGTTTAGGGTTGGGGATTGGCTGTACACAACTAAACATTGCTTTGTAGGAGTGTCAGATGTGACCTACATCCTGATTTTGCTGCCTTTTCTTGAATGCTGAACAGATGATTGGAGTGGTGATTGAACGCAGACCTTGTCTCACCTTGCACCTTATGGTACCTGCTCCAAAGCTGTGCCATCACTTTAAAGTGGGATTAAACCCCTCAGCATGTTTAGCTTAACACATCAAGCACAACAAATGTTACATTCCCCAGTAAACTATTTGTTATACTTCCTACCCCAGCAATGCTGCTGGCTCCTGCACTCATGTCTCTGCTTCTCTGTGCTTCTGGTCTTCACTAGAAAAGAGTTAACATTGGAAAGTAAAGTCTTGAGGCAATCTGTTAACTTGGAGAATTGAGGGGGAGAAGAAGGGAGTGGCAGGGGAGTGCCTTGCCATCCTATGCTATGGGACTGTGAGTTACTATTGATGTACACAGTGTAGGAAGACTCAACTCTGGTCCTTGCATGAGGGTCCAGGACAAGGGGTGGGTGGGAGTGGCGGTTGCCCTAGGTTACTATATGGATGGGGGCGCCTTCCTTCTGTTTCATCACCAGCACTGGGAGTGGCACGGAGAGGAGGAGAGCCGGGAGGTGATGCAAACTGTGTTCTCTCTCCCCCGCCTCTTTCCAGAGAGTGCAGCGCTCCTGTATTTGGAAACCCTTTTGCAAGTTTGACATCTTTGCGCAGGGCACTAGATCACCTTGTCCCAGTACTGCCTGGATGTAAAGGTGGCTCCTAGGATGCTGCAAGAGAAAAGAGCCACCCTGAAACAGGAAACCTGGGCAGTGATCATGGCATCAGCTTAACCACTTGCCTACAGGGCACTTATACCCCCTTCCTGCCCAGGCCAATTTCCAGCTTTCAGCGCTGTCATGCTTTGAATGACAATTGCGCGGTCATGCAACACTGTACCCATATGAAATTTTTATAATTTTTTTGAGACAGATAGACCTTTATTTTGGTGGTATTTAATCACCTCTGGGTTTTTTTTTTTCTTAAACAAACCAAAAACCACTGAAAATTTTGAAAAAAAAAGTTTTTTCTTAGTTTTTGTTATACAATTTTGTAAATAAGTGATTTTTCTCCTTCACTGATGTGCACTAATGAGGCTGCAGTGATGGGCACTGATAGGCTGCACTGATGGACACTGATAGGTGGCACTGATGGCACTGATGAGGAGGCACTTGTAGGTTGCACTGCTGGACATTGACAGGCATCACTGATGGGCACTGAAGGGCAGCACTGATACATGACACTGCTTATATGGCACTAATAGGCGGCACTGATAGGCAGCACTGACTGGCACTGATAGGCGGCACTGACTGGCACTGTTAGGCAGCACTGACTGGCACTGACAACGGCACTGACTGGCACTGACAGGCAGCACTGATGCGCAGCACTGATAGGCAGCACTGATGTGCAGCACTGATAGGCAGTTTGATGCGCAGCACTTAAGGTGGCACTTATTGGCAGCAACTGATAGGTGGCACTGGCATTGATAGGTCGCACTGACTGGCACTGATTGACATTGAAAGGCAGCTCAGATGGGCACTGATAACGTGGCATTGATGTGCACTGGTAGGCACTTATATGTGGCTTGTGGCACTGATCACTGGCATGGCACTTGAGCCTGACAGCTGTCATTGATGGACACTGACAGGTGACCTCCTGGGGCCACACTGATCTTAGGGCACACTGATCATCAGTGCCCTGATGATCAGTGTACATGTCCCCTCCGCAGAGGAGCCGATACCGGCTCTCCTTTACTCAAGAGTTGTCACTGCGTGACAGCTCGAAACTCCAGAAATGCCGATTCCAGCATTTCCGTGTTTACATGTGATCAGCTGTGATTGGACAATGCTTGATCACATGACCGAGCCGACATCTTCGTCTCTTTCCGTGATCCGTGCATCCAGTTTCGCATCCAACGATAGCTCCCGCATGCACGGTGAGAATTCATGGAAGGATGTCATATGACGTCCTATCAGAACGAGAGAACCACCTTGCGCCCCCATTGTACCTATATGGCAGGTGGTTAAAGTACAACCCCAGCTGATTGACCCTCCAGGCCATGCTTCACTAGGCAAGGTTTTCTTTACATCAAGGCCTCAGTGTTTTTCCTCCAAAAAGCGTTGAACCCCCATACAGTTCTAATTTTTGTTTCAGTATAGGCCCACAGAGCATAAATTAGTGGGTTTTCCACTTTTTTTTTATGTCCACATGGCTTTTGCGCATACTGCAAATGACAATCTTACACTGTTGGAGATCGTTCAAGGGTGCATGCGGGACTGACACATTCACTCGCCTTTGTGCACGAGCACAGGGGAACAGTGGCACTTTATTTTTATTTTTTTAATTGATTATTTCTTTTTTTTATTCGTCTTATTGTCTTTACATTGCTGCTTTAATTTTTTTTTATCACACGGGACTTCTCTCCAACTCTACGCTTCAGGTTGCGCACAGCAGTCGCAAGTCACATCTTCTTTCTTTACACGACCAGTGGTAGCGTTTCAACAGTGCCCTTTGCCCTTGAATTTAAAAAAACAAGATGATGCTTCCTAAGTGTCTCTTGGTATGTTTAACATCTTTGCAATCTTCTTATAGCCATTGCCCAGGTTTCCATAGTGAAGAGAAATCACCTCTTCTCTTGTCTTCCTGGACCATTCTCTTGCCTTCACCATGTTTGTAACCACACCAGTAAATGTCTAGAAGGAGCTGAGTATCACAGTCATTTTAAAGCTGCCTAATTGGTGCTTATTATGCTTGATTGCTGCTCGGTGACATCCACAGGTGTTTTCAATACCTGATGGAAAGCACCTGTATGAACCTCTGTTCTTCAGAGTGGTAGTCTTTAAGGGTTGAATAATTGTGGCAATGAAGAAACCACATAAGAACCATTTACTACTGTATTACATAAACAATTGATGTCATTTTAGTTGCATTTGGTAGTTACAACGTCCTTGTAGGATTTGATTCTGAATACAATTCCAAATGTACACTATAGTCCCTAAACCCCTTTACAGCATTGGGGTTGAATAATTTTGGACACAACTGTAGGTTGCACTGATGGACATTGACAGGCATCACTGATGGCACTGAAGGGCAGCACTGATACATGACACTGATATATGGCACTAATAGGCGGCACTGATAGGCAGCACTGACTGGCACTGATAGGCGGCACTGACTGGCACTGTTAGGCAGCACTGACTGGCACTGACAGACGGCACTGACTGGCACTGACAGGCAGCACTGATGCGCAGCACTGATAGGCAGCACTGATGTGCAGCACTGATAGGCAACACTGATGCGCAGCACTTATATAGGTGGCACTTATTGGCAGCACTGATATAGGTGGCACTGATTGGCATTGATAGGTCGCACTGACTGGCACTGATGGGTGACATTGAAAGGCAGCTCAGATGGGCACTGATATGTGGCATTGATGTGCACTGGTAGGCACTTATATGTGGCATTGATGTGGCACTGATGGGCACTGGCACGTGGCACTGATGAGCACTGACAGCTGGCATTGATGGACACTGACAGGTGACACTTCTGGGGCCACACTGATCATCAGGGCACACTGATCATCAGTGCCCTGATGATCAGTGTACATGTCCCCTCCGCGGAGAGCCGATTACCGGCTCTCCTCTACTCAAGAGTTGTCAGCGTGACAGCTCGAAAGGAGAGAAATGCCGATAACCGGCATTTCCGTTTTACATGTGATCAGCTGTGATTGGACACTGCTGATCACATGACCGAGCCGACATCTTCGGCTCTTTCCGTGATCCGTGATCCAGCGCATCAACGATAGCCCCGCATGCACGGTGAGAATGGAAGGATGTCATATGACGTCCTATCATCAGAACGAAGAACCACCTTGCGCCCGTCATTGTATTATATATGGCGGGTAACATGGTATTTGCGCAGCAGTTTTGCAAATGCAATTAAAAAAAAAAACACTTGTGTGGGGTGATCGTTCTTTGTGTGCACGAGCACAGGGGAACAAGGGCACTTTATTTTTATTTTTTTAATTATTATTTTTTTATTTTTACATTGCTGCTTTAATTTTTTTTTATCACTTTTATTGCTGTGACAAAGAATGTAAACATCCCTTGTGACAGCAATGGGCATGTGACAGGGTACTCTTTACGGAGGGATCTGTGGTCTATAAGACAACAAATCTCTCTTTTGCCCTTAAAAACATTTTTAAAAAAACAAGATTGGTGTTTTTGAATGCTTTTGATTCTTTGAAAATGGCGCTGATGACATCCGGGTAAACCGGAAGTGATATCAGGTCAGTGCTTCCAGGTTTCCATAGCGGAGACCTGATCAAAGTCAGTCCCAACTTTGTTTGGGTGTCCAGTCAGCTGGTGGATACGCTGGCTGGTTGCTCGGCTATCCCAGTAAGACAGAAAGTGGGAGCTGGGCATGCTTATACTAGCAATTGAGCTGCTAGATAGCTGCTCCGATTGCTATTACAGGAGAGCCATCTGCTGGCTCTAAGAAAAGAGTACCAGGGTGATGCCTGCAGCTGCAGGCATCATCTCCCGGTACAACCACTTGAAGTCAAGCAACGTACCTGTACGTCGATTGGCTGCAAATGGATAATGTAGGCGAGGATTAAAAGATGAAGAAGTTACATACTACTAAGTGATTCAATCAGCTGTTTAAATAAGATTTGGGGTCAATGCACACTAGGCACAGAAAAAAATGGTAGCTCTTATTGCCTGAGAGTTTAGGAACGTTTATGGGCATTTACTTTTATAAGAATTTTGTTCCCCATGCATTTCTCCTCTGCTCATTTTTGAATGTACACTTACAACTGCTGAACGCTTGTAAACATTTATGCACGTATATGCATGTTTATGAATATTTAGTGTTTTTTATGCATGAAAACTCCTGAAAATGTACTTATGATGTGTTTTTTTTTCTTTGCCTCTAAACACCCTAATGTGCATGGACACATATGCTAACATAGAGCTGCTTCTACAGACTGAATAAAAAAAAAAAAAATACCTGTAGGAACAGAGTTTTTTTATGCCCAGTGTGCATGGAGCCTAAATATCACATCAATTTCTATTTCATTGGCAGAGTCCCCTTACAGCTCAACTCTAGACATAAAGAAAGGATACACATATATGAAGTTTTATATCCAGTCAAATATCACTAAAATGTATTTATTGAATACAAGTACCTGAATGTGGCCCTGTTATTAACCTCTGGCAATACCTGTACAGCAGAGCTCAGACTGGGAGAGGAAGAAGCAACACAAGGAAATCAGATCATGTGCTGATAGGAGGATGGAACAAAAATTATTTACCCATGTTAACAAACCCTTCCTGTAAAAAAATCCCAGTTGCTGAACAAGATATCCTCTGATGTCAATAACAAAACAAACTAACAGTTACAACACTATTAAATCACATTGTTGATGCAGCTGGCTCCTACATAATGCTCAGCTGTTGTTACCGAGTACCCGGACTAAGCATAAACTTACTTGAGGGTATTTATTTTATATATTTTTATGCTGGTTTTTAAATAAAAAGGACTTTATACTTTGGCATCCTTCTTGTTCTCCATAAGGAGAACATGTATTGATGAGGAAATACTGAGCTCATGCTATTCCCTCCAGCCGGGCCATCTCCCCTGACTTGTCCATCAAGATCAATAACACAACCAACAGTCCCTCCCCTCATGCCAGGGTACTAGGTGTAATCCTAGACTCCAATCTGTCGTTTCAGCCCAAATCCAATCGCTGTCCAAATCTTGTAGACTTCCCCTCTGCAACATCTCCAAGACTAGACCAGACACAGGCCACAGTCATAAAAAGTGCAACAAGAGAGCTGTATAAAGTGGATGGCAGAGGTATTGCTGACTGCAGGTGAACCAGAGAGGGAACTCCAGACCAGGCTGCACATATCCTTAGAGGGACCTCCAGCTGACTACTGAGAGTTTATATCTCTAAATGTGTGATTTGATTGCACATCTGGTGAGTGCGCAATTCTTACATTACTTGGCACATCACCATATCGTTGGATAGATGATATCGATCACCAGCGTTTGAGATCACAACTGGATCTTCCATTTTTCACTTGTTGGACATTTATTTGTCACTATTGGAACTTTATTCAGTACCAGTGGTCACTTTATAGTGACAATATATAGTGTTATCACTTGATCACTTTATGGACTTATTATTATTGTAAACATAATACCACTTGTTGCACAATATCAGTCACTTTGAACTTATTTTTACACTGTGATTTATCCCTTGTTATCTCTCGCCTTGACTATTGTAACTCCCTCCTCATTGGCCTACCTAATCGCAGGCTATCCCCTCTTCAGTCTATCATGAATGCTGCTGCCAGACTCATCCACCTTACTAACCATTCTGTATCTACCACCCCTCTCTGCCAATCCCTCCACTGGCTTCCCATTGCCCAACGGATAAAATTCAAAACATTAACAATAACATATAAAGCCATTTATAACTCTGCCCCAAATTACATCATCAATCTTGTCTCCAAATATCACCCAAACCGTACTCTCAGCTCCTCGTACAATCTCCTGCTCTCTAGCTCCCTTGTCTCCTCCTCCCATGCTCATTTCCAGTACTTCTCCAGAGCTTCCCCCATCCTCTGGAATTCTCTACCCCAATTTATCAGACTATCACCTACTCTGCTCACTTTTAGGCGATCTCTGAAAACCTATCTCTTCAGGGAAGCCTATCCTACCCTCAGCTAATAATGGAATCTTCTATTACTCCTACCAGTCCATCCCCCACAGTTTTTACCTTTTGTACCACTAGCCCCTCCCTCTTAGATTGTAAGCTCCAAGGAATTGGGCCCTCCTATCCCTCTTGTATTGAACTGTATTGTTGCTGTATTGTCTCGCGTTATATTGTAAAGCGCTGAGCAAACTGTTGGCGCTATATAAATCCTGTATAATAATAATAATGAGGAAATAGGGGAGAATAGAAAGTAAAGGGCTATGAGACCTTAAAAGAGACACAGGAGCTGATGCATTGAGGAAGCTGTTCCTGGGAGATTTTAAAGCATACTTTGACCCACTTTGGAGGTTTCTTCGCAGACATAGGTAATGTGCAATACATTGGGAAAGAAGCATCAGAGGATTACAGATTTCAGTGTTGCGGAGCACTTTTTACATACTTGATGTCAGTAGTAGACTTAATTTGTATGATTACATTTATAGGGAAATTGGAGTACTGAACACTTTACCGCACTGTGATTAATTTTTTATGATATCTTGATATATATATTAGATTTTGTTGCCTTATTTATGAATTATATACACTGGTATTAGATTTTGTTTTAAATTGATGTTATTTAATAGTTCTGTAGCTGTTAGTTTATTTTGCTGATAGAAGGATGTACGAGCCAGCATGAGCTAGCTTGCGGAACCTCGACCAGGTCTGGATGTAGCAATTTTTGACAAGTTTGAAGTGCTTAATACATGTAGCAGCAAAGAAGCAGTGGCTTTTCAGCACATAGTCCACCAGAAAGATAAGTATATTGCCTCTTCTTTTACACACTACTTTGTGTGCAGATACCCAGCGATGACAGTGTCATTTAAAGCATACGCACATAAGATGAAATCTAAAGTATGTGACATATTAGATTCTAAAGCCTAGTATACATGGGCCAAATGTTGGGCAGGATCAGCAGGTTCAATAGAAACCGTCTGGCATTTGGCCCGTGTGTACAGCAGCCAGTCCGACAGAAGCTGGTAGTTCAGCCAGGGCATGACCGAAAAAGGTCTGCCGATTTGCTCCCGATCAGTGCTCTCAGCCAATGGCAGAGAGCACTGAACGCAGTATTCAGGTGGGTGCACCCCCCACCCCCATAAGAACACAATAGCACAGAAAAGGAAATTTCTGTACTAACATCAAATAGTACAGTGGCTCCTCCTGAGCAGTCAGGTTTTTTTTTCGCTCAGCCCACTGGATTGAACAAAAGAAAACTAGTAGTGTGTACCAGGCTTAAGTGTCTTTTTATTGTGTTTCTAGGTTTATTATTAGAAACCTATAGAGATATTATTAGTAAGTCTACAAGTGAAGTGCCTTGCACAGTCTATTTACCTGCTGAGCACTATTTTACAGCATTACTAAAAGACATTTCTATGCAGTACAGTCCTACTCTGCTGTGATTCATGCAGTAATCTGTTCAGAGCCCGATCAGTAACCATTCATAACAGTAAAGTTAAAATAAACTGAGGGAGCAATGTAAACACACATTATCGCTCTCGCACTTGCCTGTGTGATTTATTAAGGACCATTTAGGTGTACTCTTCCACCTTCCTAAAACACTAGAATTTGCCAAGATCCACAGGCAAACACAATCACTTAACGGCAGCTTATAATTTATATGTAGTGTAATTGCTCTCGCTATTAACTCTTCAGGAGCTGCTCTGGCTAATGTTACTGAAGCCGAGGAGTGGAATTCTGCAATAGTCTAAAATTTGTTTTAGGAGTTGTACAACAAAAAAAGATGGATAAATGAAGAGCCGAACGTTGGATGGATGGTGAATTGTCGAATAAATGAATGTATATTAATGGGTAGATGACTAAATGGATGGATAGTTGGATGGATAGATGGATGAATGGATGGGTAAATGACTGAAATGGATGGATGGTTGGATGAATAGTTGGATGAATGGATGGGCAGAAGGATGAATGGATGGGTAGTGGAATAAATGGACGGGTGGATGGATTTGAATAGATGGATTGATTATTGGATGGAATAATAGATGAATGGTTGGATGGATAGTTGGATGAATCGGTGGGTAGATG